CCCCCCGCCCCAAAGAAATGTGATGGGTGCAAATGAGCCTCTGCCTACCGGGCTTGTCTAAGAAGGACATCTCGAGAGAGACCCACTTTGTGGCCCAAAGCAGTCTCTCAAGAATCAGGACTATGGGGAGTCCTCGACTTAACGGCCCCAGTGCAGCCCCAAATTTCCGCTGCTAAGCGAGACAAATGGTCAAGTGAGTTTTGCCCCATTTGGGCAACTATGAGCCGGTTGCCTAGCATCTAATTTTGATGAACTGACTGGGGGAGGCTGCAACTGTCGTAAGTGTGAAAAATGGTCGTAAGTCACTTTTTTCAGTGCTGTCGTAACTTCGAACGGTCACTAAACAAACTGATGTAAGTCGAGGGCTAGCTGTATTATTTAGTGGTTTGCTAAATTTCAACCTAGAGGATGCACACAGTCGTCTTGATGGGGGATCTTTGGTGCTCTCTGAACTGGCCTTCCTTCTTTCCTTCCTTCCTTCCTTCCTTCTTTCCTTCCTTCCTTCCTTCCTTTCTTTGCCTTCTTTCTTTCTTTCTTTCTTTCTTTCTTCTTTCCTTCCTTCCTTCCTTCCTTCTTCCTTCCTTCCTTCCTTCCTTTCCTTCCTTTCTTCTTCTCCCTTTTCTCATTCCCATCTCCTTCCTTCCTTCCTTCCTTCCTTCCTTCCTTCCTTTCTTCTTCTCCCTTTTCTCATTCCCATCTTCCTTCCTTCCTTCTTCTCCCTTCTTCCTTCCTTCCTTCCTTCCTTTCTTTCTTCTTTCCCTCCTTCTTCCTTCCTTCCTTCCTTCCTTCGCCTTCTTTCTTTCTTCTTTTCCTCCTTCTTCCTTCCTTCCTTTGCTTCCTTCCTTCCTTTCTTTCTTCTTGCCTTCTTTCTTTCTTTCTTTCTTTCTTTCTTTCTTTTTTTCTTTCTTTCTTTCTTTCTTTCTTTCTTTCTTCCTTCCTTCCTTCCTTCCTTCCTTTCTTTCTTTCTTTCTTTCTTTCTTTCTTTCTTTCTTTCTTTCTTTCTTCTTTCCTTCCTGTTTCTTTCTTCTTTCCTTTCTTTCTTTCTTTCTTTTTTCTTTCTTTCTTTCTTTCTTTCTTTCTTTCTTTCTTTCTTTCTTTCTTTCTTTCTTTCCTTCTTCCTTCCTTTCTTCTTTCTTTCTTCCTTCCTTTCTTTCTTTCTTTGTTTGTTTGTTTGTTTCTTTCTTCTTTCTTTCCTTCCTGTTTCTTTCTTCTTTCCTTTCTTTCTTTCTTTCTTTTTTCTTTCTTTCTTTCTTTCTTTCCTTCCTTCCTTCTTCCTTTCTTCTTTCTTTCTTCCTTCCTTCCTTTCTCAAAAAAAGTATTTATTAAAAAGTGAACCTATGAGATACGGCTAAACTAATTTTAAAAAAAAAGAATGCCTCCAATTTCATTTCTACTCGCAAACTGCTTTTGGATTTTGCGCTTGAGACAGAAAGAAACGAAACTCGGACTTCGGTGTGAGTTGGTGATTAGATCAATGGGTCGCCATAGCAATAGCTAGTGTATATATTAAGTATGCAAAAGTAAACAGTCGAGGCTGTCACCTTACTATCTTTATTCCACTGCTCTGAACAGGGTTGGGAGTTAAGGCTTTTTGCTATTCTTTATTTCCCTTTACTCCACACTTTTCTCTTCTCCTTTTCTCCCTTCCCCACTCTCTTTACGTTTTTTTCTTGTATTTTATACTTGGCTAACTTTTAAGGAAAATAATAATAAACAAAAGGAATGAATCCCAAAAGAAAAAGGATGCTCCAGATCATGGCCAAGAAAACAACCAAACTCAGAGAGCACCAAGGACCACACAGTCCTCCTCCTCCTCCTATGCCCTCCCTTCTAGCATTGATGATGTTACCTAGTTGGGTAATGAAACGTCTGCAGGAAAACAACCCAGCTCAGAGAGTACCAAGGTCCCCATAATTCTCCTCCTCCTCCTCCTCCTCCTCCTCCTCCTCCTCCTCCTCCC